AACGCAGCGTTTGCCCCAGAAGGTGTATTTCATCCGCTGGTCCGCCGCTATCAAAGGTTTTAGTCATGGCCTACCATTCGTGACCACGGTTAAGTATAGGGATGAAGATCTACTTGAACGCAAACGGTTGGCGTTCAGACTCTGGTTGTACAGTTCAGTTCTCGCAGAATGCTAATTCGCTATCATCTCTTCCTCCCATTTTTCATCACCGAGAAACACGACCATGAAGTACGTGAACTTATCCGCCTATTTCACTACCTCTCCGTATCGTCGCTTTGGCTGACTATTCTATCCACGTGCAACACAAACAGGAGAGGAGAGGGAACGCAGATTTAGCGAACACCAGTGCTGGCATTCAGAGGTTTCTACGCAACGCTATGTACTCCGATGTAACACCTGCTATACGTGGACACACGAGGACAATGACTCATAGCAACTAGCCATCGATGTCATATGTTTGCATGCACGTCAACAAACTGTTGAGGATGTACCGGATAAACTAGCTCTCACGAATCCTCAGCAATAAGGCGAAGATCTGGTCAGAGACACTTCGGCGTGACTTGATGTCATACTGCTTTTCTTCTGTTTTGGAGTCAGTTATTCTGATGCCCCTGTTTTCCCACACCTTTGCGTAGACTTTTCCCGAAGGCTGAATAAGGTAATGGTCCAATAATTTGAGAATTCCGGTGATCGTTCATCTTGAAAAGGAGTACTAAAATCCACGTTCTCCAGTCAACTGGTGCCTTTCCCATAAACATAGCAATTTCGCGGACACCTGTTGCCACAACATGCCTTATTCGTCTTAAACTTTGAACATTTCAGAGCAGATTTCAGTGATCACAGCAGCCTTGTCACTTTACAAGCCTTTTACAGTTTCTACCACTGCATCTACTTTGCAAGACTACCATTCGCTGTCTCCCATTCATCAGGCGAGTTTTCCTGTGCATGCTGGATATCGCCAAAGTACACGTGTTTGTATGTATCCTCTTCCTTGACAAGGCGTCCTTCAGGACAACTCCACTGTCCATTTTGCATCTGGTGGTCTTCCTACTTGGCTTGCTTGTCATCCGGAAATTCGACTCAAACACCTCATTGAAAAATCTCAGAAATTAGCTTTAGATATTGCAACTGCTTTCGCCGGCGTTTCATGCGCTTCTTCGTACCACATTCGAGCTAGGGGCTCTTTTCTTCCAAGTTACCGTTCCACGTGCATCCAGCTGAACCTCTCGTGTCCATTCCATCAGAAAGTTTGTTTCTGGTCCTCAGGGAGAAGGCTTATCAGTTCTGAACCGCATTCGTCGGCAGTAACGGATAAGCTGCTCTGAAAAAACTTCCACTCGGCTTCCACATAACTGTAGAAACTATTTCCGGATCTGTTCAATCCGTTGTGCGATATTGTTTGCCAGCCTCCTCCTCGTACCAGCAGGAAAAAATGGTTTCCATTTCATTTTTTGGTTGCTTCTACCAATAGGACTTGGCATAGCACTCCACCGTTTGCTGTGGATGATGCCAAGAACAAGATGATGGTTGCCTAAGTGATTTGTCACTTTCTTAACGCGAATATTCTTAACACAGTGTCGTTAGCTAGATGATACGATTATCAAACCGAGCGTATTTCTATCATTAAGCTTTTTCGCTATAGTAGGCGTACTGATGCCCGTTTTGACGCTTGAAGAAGTGTTCTTCACGAACGATCCATTGTTTTGCGCAAACCTGCAACGACTAGACGTTGTTATTGTTGAGATCGCTAGGCGTGATCTTCTCAATCATGCATTGACACTTTTCAATGTCTGCCTCGACATGCGCTTTAATCGCACATCAGAAATATGTATTGCATAGTTAGCTATTCGTACAGAGCATTCACAGGAAGGATTAACAATCACATATTCATATGCTCCCTCAGAATTAGGCGAAGTGAGCTGTTATTTGATCAAAGCTTCAGCCAATTGTAACCTCAATCTGAAAATTAGCAATCTGTAGCTGACATGTTTTCATTCAGTTATGCCAGAAGACCACTACTGGCTTTATAGCGGGTTGTGAAGTCGATGCCTGGGTAGAATAGCCTCCATCTGCAGTGGTTCAGAATTCCGGAGCCCTGATGCTTCGCTGACGAGAGTCCAACTATGTCCAGTCGGTACCTGCCGACTTCATCAGCTAGCTTCTGGTCTTTTCCTCTGAATGAGGAGATGTGCCAACTTCCGTTTGTGAGCACCAACTCTCGATATCGGTACCGTGAATTCCTACTTGTTTTGCTATGATCGCTCGCGCTCTCTACCGTCTCCATTCAGAATGGGTAGCCGCTCCGTAGCTGATTGGTTGTCTTCTTGTCGATCTTCGCTATCTTCGCTAGTCGTCACCGTTCTACTACTAGAACACGTAAAGCATGGCCTAATAGCCGACATTTCGCAATCTGCTCTAGTTCCCGAACAACCTTCGGGGCCTGTGGCATTCCAGGCAATGACCAAGTCAGCATAACGTTCGATAACGGTAATACCATAACGAGCAGATGGCCAAGATTTACGATAGTCCTCGCTACAATCCGTAACCCTCCATAAAGGCGGCAAAACTGATAAGTGGATAGGTAAGTACATCGATAAATAAATGCATAGATAAATAAATAAATAGGTAGATATACCAGTTGATTGATGGACAGAGGGATCGACACGTAGTCGCGAAAAATAAATCGATGGGTGGAGACATACGCGCATTAATAATTAGATAACTGATAAAGCTTGTGTGCATTATTATTATCGACTGTAGTTTTTGTTGAATCAACCTTTCACTCAAAAGTTAGGAATGTTGCAAACTCGGACGTATCCCTTGTATTTGCCACGCTGTTATTTGATCATGACACCCTTTCATCAGTTATTCAACGCTACGAAAGAGTCGAGTTTCATGAATCATCAATGAAGCATAAATGGATAATTATGAATGCAAGACAATCCTCCCTTAGCGTTATGACAACGATAGCATGCAAATTTCGACAACCTTATAACGTCAGATTTTTCAGCACTTTGAGCTGATTGGTAACACGTTCCTTTTCTCAATTTTCTGTAATAACTCATCGAGAATCGTCCTTTCTTATCGTCTGTATTGTTCGTGAGTTCATGTACTCAATATGGAACATGAAAAACATGATGGAAAGTACAGGAGGTAACAGCAATGCTGTGACTGCGGCTTTGTGCTTTGCATCCACCTAGCTTACTGAGTCAGGAACTGGACGATGTAGTGCAATATTGCCTAGCATGCTATTTAAAGTGTTTATGAAGCTTAAATATTTAGTTATCTCAGAAGTAACATTAAATATACAGCGAGAAAAATATTGCAATGTCAACAAACAGATGTAACTTAGCACTTTGCATTCTTTTAAAAAAAGCACTTTAATGAAACCGCAAATATGTTCTTTAGAACTAACGTTAATTTAGAACGCAGTTCAAAAAGTTTCTAGACTCCCCATTTTTTAGGATGAAAACAACATGCATGGGAATATTTTGTTGTGCGATTTTGCCTCACATTTTGGAAGCTTTACCTCATATCGACGTCAGAACTAACAGTGGCTTGGTTCGAGGCCTCCTGAGTAACGTTCGAGGAACCGAAGTTGCGTCGTTTCTGGGTGTACCGTACGCAAGGTCGCCAGAAGGAGAACTGCGCTTTCGACCCCCGCAGAAAATCGACCCATGGAGCGGAGTGAAGGAAGTCACACAGCTGGCTACGGCGTGTCACCAGACCAAGGACACGGCTTTTCCTGGATTTCGTGGAGCCGAAATGTGGAACCCTAATACGGCTATGAGCGAGAACTGTTTACAGATGAACATATGGGTTCCAAACGGAGTTCGCAACGCCACAGTAATGGTTTGGTTCTATGGAGGTGGTTTCTTTTACGGAAGTCCTTCGCTGGAAATTTACGATGGCCGAGCGATCGCCAGTGAGGGAAAGGTTATCGTCATAAACATTAACTACAGGGTGGCGTCGTTCGGCTTCTTGTTCTTGGATGACGTAGAGGCTCCGGGAAACATGGGACTGCTTGACCAACGTTTGGCGTTGGAGTGGATTCAAGAGAATATAGTCTTCTTCGGAGGCAATCCGGAGAGCGTGTGCCTTTTTGGAGAGAGTGCCGGTGGGGCCAGTATCTTCGCTCACGTGTTGGCTGACAGTAGTCGTCGTCTGTTCAAAAGCATTGTCATCCAAAGCGCTGCGCTGGACAATCCGTGGGCGATGGACGACCCTTCGAGGGCGAAGGCGAAGTCGGAACAGTTCGTGTCTCTGCTGAACTGTTCCCGCCCGTCGGCGGCTGAAGCCGTCCATTGCCTGAGGGACAAAAGCCCTGAGCAGCTGAACGACGCCCTGACAAAAATCACCGTAGGGTTCATGGAATTTCCTCTGGTCATCGTCAGCCAAGACCGTGGCGGATTCTTCTCCAATGACGCGTTGACTGCTCTGAGAAACAGAAGCTATGACTCGCGTTTGAATGCGATGATCGGTGTAAACAAGGACGAATTTTCATTCTGGTCTCTGTATTATCTTCCAAAATATTTCAGGTAAATATATACATTCTAAAAACTGTCTACCTCAACAGGGAGTCACACGTACTAAGAACCTATTTATATGAGGTCGCACGTTGCCTCGAAATGGTCATCGCGGCAAAGCACAAATGTCTACAACAGATGATAGTGAACTTTCAACTCTTTAGTCACCGAACGAAGGTAATATTTCTAGCCAAATCTGTGTAAGGCTCGACCTTCTTCGAGGAAGCAGTTATTGACTCATCACACACAATGGTTGTGGATCTGCGAGTAGCCGCAAATATGAGCAATTACATACATACATACATACATACATACATACATACATACATACATACATACATACATACATACATAC